AGTTCTATTTAGCTCAAACCAGGACATAGGGACAGCTTTAAGATTGGCATGTCCTAATTTTTCTCAACTTTGGAACCATGATATTGTTTTGACAGTTGGCCCTGCTTTGAGATGGGGTTCAAGCAGTTTCCAGATCTCCCACTGAGCCTAAACTTCCCTATGAGTCTACCATTGCAGAGAACCAGTTTGGGTACCCAAAACAGGATGGAACTGCATCCAGTGCAGATTAACCTGCTTAAAAGGCGTCCAAATAAACAATTCTTCCTCTTCTGTTAAAAGTGCACCTCTAAAAATACAAAATAAAATAAAAATACATGCAAATAGCATGAAAGATAGTTCAAAAAGAATGCAAGTTTTCAGCATAGGCAAAAGCAGTTTCCAGGCAAAATTCTCCAAAGAGAAAGACTAATTTCAAATTGCTGTAATTTTAAGGATTACTTCCCCAAACAACATCAGCTGCGGTCCACAATGGTTTTGTTATCAAAAAAGCCCAGAGCTAAACTCATAACAGCTTAACTTAAAAGGCTGTCATGTAGATTGCCTTTTCCCCTCTTAGCAAGATCACTGTTAACCAGCTAGCAAAGATTAAGAAAATCAAACATGATTATTTTCTAAAGGGTCACCTGTAATGTCCTAATGCTATTTCACATTGTTTCATTTTCACCCAAATGTATTGGGACTGCTAATTATGCGACCATTTTCCTAAGTGCTTCATTTGAAGCTAGACCTACAGTGTCTAAAAAAACAAAGCTGTGTTTGCTCCCATTTCTAAAAACAAGCACTAAAGAAAACTGCTGATAAGGCAGCAACATAAATCCAAGTGTTCTCAGTGTGTGATTTGCTATTTTCTATTGTTAAGTCTGTCAAATGTACTACAAGACCATGGACCCAAGTTGAGCCTGACATCTTGAAAATATTACAGATGATGCTATACTCAGGTAAGAAATCTGTAGACAGGACATTAGAGACTCAAAAAACATGAAGACGAGAAAAATTTGGTAACAGCTTGCAATTGTTGCAAACGGTAATTATGTTCAGTGAAAACTAGATCAGGACTTGTATTAGTAGACCAATGCAAATGCTAAACTGATTCTGGAACGGTATATTATTTATTCCAGAAAAAGAGTCAACCACCTCAGCAATTTACAACCCCAGAAAGGAAATACAGAGAAAAGGAACAAGTAACACTTTTGTGAACAGCAGGAGAGAACTGTTGAGTACAAAAGGTAGAGGTAGTCAGTGCTTGATAAATTGTTTGTTCGGGTTTTTTTATAATAATGGTGCACTCTTCTTAGTAACTGCTGGCAAAAATCCCCTTTTGTTTTTAAGCTTAATAGGTTTCATTTAGACCTATAGTTGCTAAACATTACTGAATTGATAGGACAGAAATAGGACCTCATAAACTAACCTATAATTTAAATTAATGGACAAGTACTTCTTAGCCACGGTGAGAGCATTAAGCTTTCTGACCCAAAAGATAAGTCTAATATAGCAGAATAAAGAAAGAAATAAATAAGACCAAAGGTGTTGCTATACAGCAAACTGACATCAAAAGCTACCGCAGTATTTTGGAACTCTGCTACTTCAACAGCTTCTTCTGCCACAAGAGTGAGATGGTGAGTATAGAAAGTACGTGATGCTCCCCACCTCCTCCACTGAGCATGCCCCCCTTCCCAGACAACTGCAGTAGAAAGCAGAGCTGTTCTGTTTCAAGACAGTGGTTTTTGGAAGAAGGGACGATTTTGTGTGAGAACATACACTCCACAAGGTTGACATGATCTCCCAGTTTTGGTTGTGCTGCACACTGCAAGGCAGTGTCTTCCATGCACATCCAGAGCCACTAAAGAGATCAGACTGGCAGGGAAGTCATAACAAGAAGACCAAAATTAAGAGACCCATGAGAATTCAAATGTCTCATCAGTGTCCAAGTATTGGGTTATGGCAATAATGCTTTTAAGAGGCAAGACTTAAAAGAGACTGCTTATCACACTAAAAAGGACTAGGTGAGAGCAGGATAACCAGCTCAACAGAGAAAAGAGAGTGGGTTAAGAATATAAAAAGCTTCTTCAAGTGTCATGTCACAGCATTTTCATCAACATTTTGCATTACTGAAATTTTGCTAAAATAAATTAAGCAAAATTGAGTTGGAGGTGGACATTAAATACTATGGAGGATTGAAAAGCTGTCAGGAGCGCTAGCTAAGAACCAGAAAAAGATTATTTGAGCCCAGCAGCGAATGCCAGAAATTAATGGGATTCTAGTGATTTTTCTTTGCAAAAACAAGAGTTTCCTTATTTCTAGTCATAAAAACCAAAGTATTTCCTATTCTGTAATATACTAAATTTTGAACTTTGAAACTGGTAGTGAATGTGCTTATACAGCTGAAGGGAGACAAAAGAAAAGAATCAATGCACTTGAAATTTCTTTTGCAGCAGCTACTAAATATTTGTCCACAAGAATACCAGAGAAAGCTCAACTATCTTGCGAAGAATTACAGTGGAAAATATGAAAACTAGGTCTAGGCGTTTAAGCCTAGGATTTCAGACCAGATTTAAGCGAATGTTTTAATACATTCTTAATTACCAATTTGCTACCAATGGTCCTATAATACCATCAACCTTTTTAAGGTTTAGCACTCATCCTAAACATTTATGAAATTCTTTTCACAAGATCACACCAAGGAGGTTTAAAAATGTATTAGCATACGAGTGCAACAGGAAGGGCAAAAACATGTCATAAAACTATCAAAACCACAGCAAATATGGACAGTTAAGCTTATTAGCACTTAAAGATTGCAAATAAATGTGCATAAATTCACAGTACAACATTACATACAATATAATATACACAACCTTGCTACATCAGCACAGAACAGAAAGAGTACAACAGGAAAGCTGACAACTGCTTTTCTCTAAATTTACATATTCCCCATTTTCTCCTGTACAATACGCGTGCATTTTTCTGCATAAATGGGTTATGAAAAATTCGGTACATTCAAATATCAGAAATATTTTCAAAGCTGAAAATCCACCAATTATTCTCTCCATAAAGAAATATTTTACTCCTTTATTTCCTTTGTTGAGTTATTTTTGTAGATTATGCCTCCTTTTTATCAAGCCTTTACAGATATTACAGCTACAAAAATATTTAATCCTATCTTTGTACTTTACAGATTGAAGAAACAACGTTCAAAATTGTAGTCTGGTAGAAATACATATTTTTAATATCAGTATTATAATAGCATTTACTATAGCTATATTTATTTTTAGATTTGAATCGATCTGTAGTAATTGTACTCAATTGCATACTGCAACTCAAACTGAAAAATCAACAGCACCGTTATCACATCTTGTACTTTTTTCTTTCTGAATGTGTCAAGATTCAATAAATGCTACATTTAACAAAAGGAATGGTCTTCCTCGAACTGTCAAAATATGGAAAGTAGCCCTGAAAATTATTTACTAACTCACATCATTGTGATAATATTTACACATCTGATGGTCAATACTTGTTGTTTTTTTAACGTCTAAGGTAAGTTTTGAAGAGAAGGAAGTGCAACAGGCACCTTACCTTAATATGCACTGCTGCTATCTAGTGGGCTAAGCATAAACATAATGCACCATATTCAGAATTATACGTCAGTTTAAAAAGAGGCACAAGTTAAACTTGTCAGGAAACCTAAACTCTACAGCCAGAGATACAGCTAAGAAAAAACTGCTTACTTATTCTCAAATAGCTACCTGCAAGAAGTATTTATTACCAAGTTTGATAGTGGTCATCCCACATACTGCATTTAGTACAGCAATCTAAAACTTTAAGCTTTGTAATGACAAAGTGACAGTTTTACACAAATTCATTTCAACTTTGTTACCTTATTTACTTCCATGATTTCCCTTCTCTCTTCACTAGCAAAACGAAGTTGACTTGCAGCACCACGATCATCGTGCTTGGAGCCATCCTCTTCAACGTATGGAATTAGTTGCTGTGAAGACAAGAAAAATTAGCTTTAGGAACAAAAAAGAAAAAAGGAAGCTGGGGGGAGAAAACCAGGAGATACAGAAGGTATGACCATTTTCTCCTAAGGTTCAAACTTCCCAAGAGGAACCGGAGACAAGCTTACGTTGTCACCTCAAACCCAAAGCCCTTGGAATGACCTCAGGTGGTTCAGGAAAACGATGTGCTTCAAAAAGACACAATTCCACACATTACCATGCCTAGACCTAAGCAATCTCACAACTGCAGGCACAACCCAGTCTTTACAATTTAAGATGTTTATCACAGGTAATCCTTGTATTCTTGATCTCTGCAGACTGTGATTTTAAAATTTACTATTTCACACTATGAGATACCACACACATGAAGGTATCGTTATTATAAAGTATTCCAGTGATACACTGAACATAATTGTGACTGGCTTTGTGACATAGCTACTTGGTTGATACCTTAATTACATCTTGCTATTTTAGTGGGCCTCTGTTTGGCTGTTCAGAAGACTAGGGAAACAGTTACCTAACAGCAGTTTTTAATGTAAGATTTTCCCACTTGGATCTCCTCAAGCACACAGTGTATTGTCTTTTTTGTAAGCTTTTAGAGAGCCAAAAATCTTTGACGAAGAAATTCTAAGTTAATAGTAATATGTGTTCCCCTCCTAAAAGAAAACCACACAGCAACTATACTAGATACAAACCAAATAAATGTTTCTGTGTCAGATCACTCCCAAGCTACTAACATCATATTAAAAAATTATAATGACAGCTAAATTACATCCTTGTTCACACACACTTTACAGACAAATGAAAGAACAGTAATTGATGCAAATGAGCAAGATGTTATTCTAAAAGTCTGGGAGCAAGTTGCTCATTGAATGCGTATTAACTTGTTACTTACGCTGGAGTGTAGTATTATGAAGCATTCAGCA